AGATTATGTTTTCCTTTCTGGCCTGAGGGCCCGCCGGTTTTTCCTGGGTACCTTTGAAAGATGCCTCTTCATTATTGTCTGAGGTGATTTCCCCTTGTGTGCCACTCCCAAGCTTCCCTCCCGCCCAGGAGCACGTTCTCACTGTCCCCAAGGACCTCTTGTCCCCAAGGGCCTCTTCCTGCCGGTTTTTCCTAGGTACCTTTGAAGGATGCCTCTTCGTTATTGTCTGAGGTGACTTCCTAGCAGAGTTAAAAATTGTTAAAAGGAAACACCTGGAGGTGCCTCTATTGTTGTTGTTTTGTACCATTATGTTGGAACCAACCCATCAGGTTTTCAGAGGCAGTAAATAACACAGAAGGAAACTGACGACCTTTCTCCTGTGGAACAGCTGGTGGATTTGAACTATGAGCCTTTGGGTTGACAGAGTGGATTTTTACCATTAGGCCAGCAGAACTCCCTTGGAGGTACCTGGGCTACTTATTTAAGGCATGATTTTTTTTGGGGGGGGGGAGTCTTGTGATGCCTGCATTAGCAGAATGCTGCTTTCCTGACCTGACTGGACTTAAGTCTCAAGGGAAAAATAATTCATCACATCATGTAAAGAGGAAACATTTAAAACCATCCTAGCAGAAATGCTGTTTAAACAGTTAAAATGTGCCTTCTTATTCATTGAAAGGTCATCTTTAATGATGATGTTCAATGAAGGAGTGACACTGAGCTGTGGATTGGAGGGTGGAGAGGCAGTCGGCAGCAGTTAACGGGTTTCAGTGGAAGGTCTTGTCCTCTCCTCCGAATGTCACATCTACATATTTAGAATCCATCAGTGAAGATGTGTGGCAGCTTTCACACTACAGGCAGATGTCAGTGCTCGCCCGTGTGTTGTCTGGACAATACCTCAGGTAGTGAGCTGGAGCTGACTAGGGCAGTACCACCTGGTTTCAGCAGGGAGCTCTGGTGGCCTACTCTGTAAGGAGCTAATCTGTGCCTCTCTGGTATTTCAAATCCACCTGGAACTCCTTGGTAGAAAGATGAACACTCTTCTGTGTGATTTGCAGCCTCAGAAACCTGTTGGAGGGTCAACTATGAGTCACTTCTGAGTAACCTACACAGCAATGAGGGTGGATTTTTTGTTTTGTTTCCCTTTTTGAGAATTGGTTTCTAACTCAACCTTTTTTATGACTCCTGACAAAGGGAGTTTAAAACAAACAAAGATAAAGTGGATATAACTTCAAAGCACGTGTTTCTAATTCTTTCTCAAATGCAATCTCATTGCTGTCAAGCTGGTTCTGACTAGTGATGACCCTCCGTCAAGTTTGTAAGTCTTAATGGGAACAGCCTTTCTTCCAAGTAGCAGCTAGCTGGTGGATTTGAACCACTGAAGATATGAGGCCTTTTGTTTAGTATTATTATTATTACTGTGTGGTCAATGTCCTGGCTCCTCTTCTTGTGCAAGCGAAAAAATTGTGCCAGGCCAAGGAGACTACAGTTGGGCATGACACCCAAGTGGCATGGTAGCACATCAATTTTAGGGTTCCTTCAGAGAATAGATTGTAGTGCACAGAGCATTAAACTGGAAGCTGAAGCTTTTTGTTGGAGCACAAGGCTGAGGAGAAAGATGAGGAGACAGAAGAGAAGGTATAAAAATAGAGTTATTAGAAAGTTAAGTCCCAAATGACCTGACAGACCTTTTTCCTTGGAAAGGAAATATGAAGGAGGCAGCGTGCCAGTGAGGTGAGGTCATATTTATGGCTTTCTTGTTTGGGAGTACCTTGGGGATGGAGTTTGGGCCAATGAGACAATGTCATGGAAAGTTCAAAGTTTAGGGGGTGGTCTTCATTCTGGTCCCTGTTCTCTGATGTCATTTATGTGCCTAAAACACTATGTTGCCTTCAAGGGGGTGGGGGAGCAGCCTTTTCCATACACATCAGTATCTCCTTCCTGGTTCTGAGGGCTCATGTAAATTTTCCCTCCCTTATTTCATTGGTTCTGATCCCAATGGTATGAGATGCTGTGGACAATGCTGCTAGCTTTCTCTAATTTTCTCAAACTTAGTATTCTCCTTCAAAGGTGGACATATTAAAAAAATTAAGTTCCTTTAATTTTACTTTGCTTTGCTTTACATTATTTCTAACTAGAAACCAAGTTATCTTTTCTTGAAGATGTGGGTCCTCAGTGTTCCAATCTTCATGTGCATTTCTGTGGCAAGTAGGAGTGCAGCTCCTAAGGACACAGTGTTCTAAGTAAGACATCAAATGCTTCCCACAAACCATATCTTTCCAGTCTAAGTATCTTAAGTATAAGCTTGAAAATAATACCTAGAATGGTTTCTTCCAGACACCACCACCACACACACACACACACACACACACACACACACACACTCACACACACCCTAACAGGAGCCAAAGTCCCAGTGAAGAAGTATGTCAAACTGTCACATATTTGGAAAGGCACAGGCAGTGAATTCAAAGTTTTTTAGTGGTTTTTGTTTCATTTGAGGAGCAATAGTTGTTCATGTCTATTTGTGTTTTATTGACTATGCAAAGGCATTTGACTATATGGATTATAAGAAACCATGACTAACATGTGAAATCTATACCTAGACCAAGAAGCTGCATGTAAAATCTATACCTAGACCGAGAAGCTGCATGAAAACACAGCAAGGAAACACTACATGGTTTAAAATTAAGTGTGCATCAGTGTTGTATCCTTTCTCCATACCAATTTAATCTGTTTGCTGAGCAAATTATACAAGAAGCTGGTCTCCATGAAGAAGAATGTGGTATCAGGATTGGAGGAAGACTCATCATTATGCAGATAAAAAAATCCCTTGCTTGCTAGAAGTGAGGAGGTCTTGAAGTGCTTGCTGCAGGAGATCAAATACTGCAGGCTTTAATATGGATTTCATTTCAACTTCAAGAAAACAAAAATTCTTACTACTAGACAGATGAGCAACATCATGATAGATGGAGAAAAGGTTGAAACTGTCAGCTACTTCATTTTACAGTCATTTCTGTGTTACTCTGCTCCTGTGCATGCCAGCTTTCATTTAATGAAAACTTAAACCACTCTTTTGATTTTTTTTTATTATCGATTATTGGGGTAGCAGAAGTCTGATAAAATCCTCTCTCCTTTCTAAATTTAGAATTTGAATAGACTGGACTTAGTTGTCTCTGTCTTATAAAGGACTCCCACTCATTGCTGCTTCAGGGATACCAGCAGAACTGAGTCTAGAAACAGACTAGGAGACCCTTTGGCTATTTCTTCTCTGTCCCAAAGGGTCCCTGTGAGTCAGAATCAACTTGATGCCTCACAACAACAGTAATTGCCAACAATCCTGAGCACTGCGGGGCTTGGAGATGCACCTGTCTGCTCTCTGCCTTTCTCTTCCCCTGTGTGTGTGCTTTTGTATCTGTGCTGCTCTTTTTATGATTGAGAACTCAACTGATACAGCTAAAGCCTATCTAAAGAGCAGAAAACATGGCATGGGGACACAGAGCCCTAAGTGTCTCTTTGAGAGAGCAAGAGGATGTGAATATTGCACAGCCCCACACTGCCTCAGAGCAAAAAGCAGATAAAGAGCAGACCCAGCCTCCTGGTGCCTCAAGAGCCAAACCAACAGCAAGAGGTTAATTTATTCATTGTTGACCTGCAGAATGGGGTTTATTAGGGAAGAAAGTTGGAGAGTGGGGAAGGCAAAAGAATATCACCCAAGTTAAGTCCTGGTTTTGGCCCAACAGTTCCCAGGCATAATTCTTCAATTAGTCCAGGTTCCAGTTTCAGTTCAGCAGTCAGCTTTTCCTTCCATCATTCCACAAAAACAACATTTTTAACTGTGGCTTTTATCTCATGGCTCCTCTGGTTACGCTTTGCCAGTCACTCCACTACCATCACCAAAGTCTCGTCACCAGGGTCTCACTCCAGTCTCCCTCAAGTCTTGCTGCTAAGTATGGGAAGCACTCTCTCTTATGCTAGCCCCACAGCTGTTGGTAATTTGTAAGACCATGTGTCTGCAATTATGGTAGCTAGAGACCAGAAGTGGGTAACATAATAGCTAGAAAAGCCAACTTTTAAGCTAAGTAACACTACAGGCCTCATTAACTTAACAACAGTAAGCCCCTGTTTCTAAACAGTATTACTAGGACCTGGATTTCAATAGACATTTTCATTCTACATGCCATGAAGAACACATTTAATTCTACTTTGAGGAATGGAATGGAGGGAGAGAGAAAGATTTCTTTTCTCAGTAGTAGATTTACTGTTAATGAACTTTCTTTGTCATAAGTCGAGAGAGAGAGAGAGAGATTTAAAATCTGCTTTTTAAAACTTAATTTTGTTGCAGAGGGATTGAATTGTTTATTGTAAGATTAAAGAATGGCCAAAGAAGAGCCCAGAAACTCACTGCAGCCTCAGAAATTACCCCATGCCTGAAGACATGAGCTCATGGGTTTTATTTTTCCAATCCTTCCTCTTTTATTTCCATCCTTACTTATTCTGAGATGACTTGATATCATATAACAAGTCATTCACCAATCACTGTACATGAAAAAGTACAATTGACTTAAAAATTAGGTTTCTGTCTTACATATTATTGGTTTTTTAGTTGTACAGAAGCAAAGTAAAAGACTTGCTACATAAAAGAGATTGGTATAATGCATATGATATATGGAGTTTCCCACCAGTAACTGATGAAGTGGGGAAATGATAACTTATTGTTGCTTATACTTAAAGCAAAATAAAATCAGTGACTGTGCTAAGTGGGTTTTGTGTTTCTTTCAGATATCGCCTATTTAATGTGGTTTGAAAGACTCTATGTTTGGCTTCAGTGCTTTGAAAAGTATATCTTGTATCCAGCAATAACTCTGAATGCCCTCACCATTGATGCCTTCTCCATAAGCAATTACCAGAGACTTGGTACCCAGTAAGTAGATAATGATTTACTCTCATCATGATTTGAGTCGCAATGTTTTTCACAATGCAGTGACTTCCTGTACACAGGCTGAAGCAGAGGCCAATGCATGCCTTATTACTGGCCACGTCAGGTAGAGCCATGGTGTCTTCTACTCAGACCTGCCAGAGCCAGCTGGAATTGGCGTGTGACAGGGTGCATAGGAATTTAGGTCTGTTCCAAATGTTGTCATGAATAAAAGTTGGTAAATGTGAAAAACATTCCTCAGAAGCTTCAACAGGGGCTCTTAAGCAGAGAAAAGTGCAGTGTGATCTGGGCTTTTGGAGTTTCCAGCACAGCGCTCACTTCATCTCCTTTAGCAGATGCCCTGTCATGGTGTGTTGGGAGAGGGAGGTGATCAATCACTGTCTTGGCTCTGTCTGCCTTCATCAGCGGAGCCTCCATCATTTATGAACCGGATGTAGCCACCAGGCCTGTGTTTTTGTCAAGTGTTAACAGCATAGCCAGCTTACTGGCATCCTATTTTTTTTAAGTCACTTAAAGGGAAAGCTACTTGATAATTTGTGGTCTTCTCATTCTGACAACAGGCACATCTTTCTGGACAAATAATTTGTTAGAACAAGAAAGAAAGAAATTATATCTCCCAGATTTACTTCTTAAATCACTTCTTAAATACCTTGTACCCAGTAAAACCTTAGTAGATCCTCCCAGGAGTACTAATTCAGACCTGCTCTCCACTTCAGGGGTGATTAAGGTATATTAATTATACATTGCTAGTTTAATGAATTCCTCTAGGTTGTATAGCCCTGGTGTACAAGTTGCGGTACAACAGTAATTTGTGGTTGCTGTGAGGCTGAACACTGTGACGCTGATGTGTCAAATGCACTAATGGCTGGCTACCCAATGCAGACAGAGAGTGGGGTGGAGCTTCCCGATGAAAACAAGCTTGGAAGGAGGAGTGGCATCCACTTCCATAATAGCTTGCCTCCGGAAACCCTATGAACCTGGAGAGAGGATGAAAGACACACAAGTGTTGAGGACTCTCCTTCATAGGGTCGCTAGGAGTCACCTGTGACTCGATGGCACTTAACAACAACAACCACAGTTTAATGAAATATTTCATTTGATAAATAACAATATTAGATACTGTTAATAATAAAATTACAATTCTGTATCTCACAGTGCAAATACTTTGAAATACTTTTATAAATGGTGCCACCTTGGGACAAGATATTTGGTGATACTTTATGGTGGTAAGTATAATAGTGATAAGGAGTTGTGCTACCAAACCAAAGACTGAATCCACCAGCTGCCTCATGGGAGAAAGATGGACCGAGACTCTGAAGGTACCCTGAAGAGTCAGCTATTGGTTGGTCCCTACTCCATGGTATACAACAACAATACAGTAAAAAAGTTTTACTTGGATTGACACTGACTATGGTGGACTGAAAAAACCCTTATACTTGTTCTGGTGGCTGAATGGGTGAGGAGTTGGGCTGCCAACCCAATGGTAGGTGGTTCAAATTCACCAGCTGCTCCTTGGGAGAAAGAGGAACAATCTCCTCTCATGTGATTTCAACTTGTGAAAACCCGCTGCAACGTCAGCTAAGAGTTGATTCTGGCTTGATGGTAAGGAATTGAGTTTGACATAGAAAAAAAAAATATAGTGAAATAATTATAAACCAAAGAAGCAGACTGGGAAGTATGTAATCACTTTGGTTGATGGTTATGTTGAAAAGCACCGGAAGTAAAAAGGTTAAAAACAAAAGAAAAAAATGACTGTATTAGAAGATAGTTTTGTTTGCTTTTTAATTTTATGGAATTCATGTCCACGGGAACCAAAATTTGATCTTAACTCTATCCCACTCAAATTTCAATACCATCTCAGGAACAAGTTTGAGGCCTTGAACGCCAATGAGTGTAGACCAAATGAGCTCTGGGAGGATATCAAGAAAATCGTCCATGGACAATGCAAAAGATCATTACAGAGGCTGAAAAAGAAGAAAAGACCAAGATGGATGTCAGATGAGACTCTGAATATTGTGTCAGAGCACCGAGAAGCCAAAGCTAAAGGAAGAAACCAAGAAATCAAAGAGCTAAACAGAAAATTTCAAAAGGCAGCCCGGGATGACAAAGCAAGATACTATAATGAAATGTGCAGAGAGCTGGAGTCAGAAGATCAAAAGGGCCTAACTTGCTCAGTGTTTCTTAAGCTGAAGGAGCTGAAAAACAAATTCAAACCATGGGTGGCAATACTTAAGAATACTTTGGGTAGAATGATAAATGATCCAGGAAGTATCAAGAGAAGATGGAAGGAATACACAGAGTCACTGTATCAAAAGAAATTGGCTGACACAGAAGAATTTCATGAAATGACATATGAGCAAGAGCCTATGGTGATGAAGGAGGAAATTCTAGTTGCACTGAAGGAATTGGCATAAAACAAGGCTCCAGGAGCTGATGGCATACCAGTTGACATATTTCAACAAACAGGCTGCCCTGGATGTGCTCACTAAGTTGTGCCAAGAAATCTGGAGAACAGTCAGCTGGCCCACTGACTGGAAAAGATCAATATTTGTTCCCATTCCAAAGAAAGGTGACCCAACAGAGTGCGGAAATTATTGAACAATATCATTAATATCACATGCAAGCAAGATTCTGCTGAAAATTATACAAAAATATTTGGAACAATATGTCAACAGAGAACTGCCAGATGTGCAGGCTGGATTTAGAAGAGGTCGTGGCACTAGGGATATTATAGCTAATGTTAGATGGATTTTGGCAGAAAGCAGAGAATACCAGAAGAATGTCCATCTGTGCCTCATTGACTATGCAAAGGCTTTTGACTGTGTGCATCACAGTAAGCTGTGGCTGACTCTGAGAAGAATGGGAATCCCAGAACATTTGATTGTGCTAATGTGAAACCTATACTTGGACCAAGAGGCAGTTGTCAGAAAAGAGCAAGGAGACACTACATGGTTCAAAATCAAGAAGGGGGTTCATCAGGGATGTATTCTGCCACCACACCTTTTCAATCTGTATGCAGAAGAGACCATCCGAGACGCTGGGCTATATGAAGAGGAATGTGGTATCAGGATTGGTGGAAGAATTATCAACAACCTGTGTTATGCAGATGACACAACCCTGCTTGCTGAAACTGAGGAGGACTTGAAGTGCTTGCTGCAGAAGATCAAGGACTGCAGCCTCCTATATGGACTGAAACTCAACATCAAGAAAACAAAGATTCTCACCACTGGGCCAATTGGCAGCATCAGTATGGATGGTGAAGAGATTGAGATAGTTAACAGTTTTCGTTTACTTAGCACCACAGTTAACACTCTTGGTAATAGCAGCCAGGAAATCAAGAGACAAATTGCATTGGGAACGTCAGCTGTGAGGGACCTCTCAAGAGTGCTGAAGAGCAACAACATCAGGCTGTAAACTAAGGTGTGCCTGATCTGGGCTATAGTCTTCGCAGTTATGTGCTATGCATCAGAGAGTTGGACAGTGAATAGGGTTGATAGAAAGATAATTGATGCCTTTGAGCTGTGGTGCTGGAGAAGAGTGTTGAATATACCATGGACTGCTAGGAGAACAAACAGGTTTGTCTTAGAGAAGGTGAAGCCGGAATGCTCCGTGGAGTCAAGAATTCTGAAGCTTTGTCTGACATACTTTGGGCATGTTGCAAGGAGGGACTGGTTCTTGGAGAGGGACATCATGTTTGGCAGAGTGGAGGGATGGCGCAGGACAGGAAGACCTTAGATGAGATGGATCGATTCTGTGACTGGAGTGTTGGGAATAAGTGCGTTTGAGATGGCTAGATTAGCACAGGATAGAAGAACATTTAGAGTTCTTGTATGAGTCACAAGCTACTCGGTGACACATAACAACAACAACAACAACAACTCCTGTCACAGCCCTGCGAGTCTTTGACATCCACTCTGAGCGCATTCTCACGCAGACAGCATCTGGTTCAGTGGCTCACCTGGCACCAGGGACTAGGTGGAGATTCCTCACAGCAGTGGTGCCTCAGATATAATAAGCTCAGCTTCAGCTCAGGGTCCCCATGAACAGTGCCAGTCAGTATGAGAAGAAGGTGATCAAATGTCTGCAGTGGCAAAAAGTATGTGCACCCTAATTCTGACCCTGTGGGAGTTGGGCAAGGTGCTTAGACTCCCTGGGATGGAGCTTCCTCCTCTGTAAAGCGTAGATAGTAACAGAACCCACATACTTGTTGACTTTCCACGCCTGTGAAGCCCACAGTGTTCGGTAAATGCTCAGGACACCTTAGCGCTTTAGTTCAGTGTGTGCTCTACACACCATCACTGACTGCATCTCTTTTCCACTCTGACAGTTGGAACATTTTCCTGTTGATTGTTGCTGGCATGAAGCTCCTCCGCACCTCGTTCTGTAATCCAGTCCACCAGTTTGCCACCTTGAGCTTCACTGTCATCTTTTTCCATTTCGACTACAAAAAAGTTTCGGAGAGTTTCTTGCTGGATTTCTTCCTGATGTCCATTCTGTTTAGCAAGGCAAGTCCACGAGCTCTCTTCTTTGATTTATGATTTAAGGGGCACACTTCTCATTATATTTTCAGAATTTTTTTTTCTTATCTTTAACTAAATAATTAGATCAAATTGAATTATGGACACATGTTAAACTCCTGCTGTCATTTAGGAAAATTCCCCATGGAGTGCAAATATATTATTTATTTGCTAAAATCACTCCTTAAAATGAATTAGTCTGTTACTTTGGCTTGCAACTTTGTAATCTTTGTCTATGTTGCCATTCTCATTATAGAACTTTCCTGGATCTTAAAATTGTGCAACCAAAGATCAGGAATAATTTTCCCCCCATTTCGATAGTGTCTAACATTTTGGGGTAAATTTCGAGATCTGATGCCAAATAGCTGGATGTCTTGGACTGGTTTTCTTCCCTCAACCCAAATCCTACTGCTAGACTCATGTGACTCTCCAGTGGTCTTCCAAGACTATAGATAGTTAAAGGAATAACTGCCTTTCTACTTCAAAGAGGCTGGTAGATTTGATTTTTCAATTAGCCATCAGAGGTTCCTTCATTCTCTTAGCTTGCCTCAAATCAAGCAAGAGTTCATCAGTTATAAATTTGTAAGGAGATGAAGAGAAATTTTATTCACAATTTGGGTGAGTGTATGGGCATGGTATCTCATGTTTAACAGTCTAAGAAATACAGTATCATCAGAACACTTGCCTCAATTCCTCCAAGAAATATTCCTTGAACATTGGAACAAACCCAAGACCATTGTGACAAACCAAATATAAAAAGTAATTGAAATAAGCTCAGTGATGCTACATATTTGCTTATGTGTTTCCTCATGAGCATGGTTTAATGCAGCAATCCTGAAGAATCTGCCCAATACTGACTTAACCAACAATTTCCCCCTTTTGGTTAATCATTTTTAAAATGTAAAGATTTGCTTGTTCTGAACTACATTGTGATTTTAGTCATTTGCTTATGCATCATTTCTAGTAGTTATTACTTTCTTTTATTATATATCTTCTTTTTCACAGATTTCCCCTTTGCCTTTTTAAATGATAAAAGCTCAAAACTCTTATACCAAAAAGCTCCATATGTAATTGCCAACACTTAGCCTTATACAGAGCTATGGTGGCTTATTGGTAAGGAGTCGCACTGGCAACCCAAGGGCAGGCTATTCAAATCCATCGGTTAGGCTGAGGGAGAAAAATAGGCATTCTCCTGCTATGTGATTTACAGCTTCTGAAAACCCATTGGAGAGTCATATGGGTCAGTTTGGACTCAAAGCTATGAAGAGGTCCTTGCATATGAATTCCCCTAATAACTCAAGTTGGACACTGATTTTGTGTCCTTAAGTCACTTCTTGTGCTACTTGCTTCTCACAGTGACTTTTGTAGCCTGTGACACTTCCAATATTTTATTCAGAACCCTGACTTCAGTCTTTACCCACAGTCATTTGCTTCTTATTTGCATTTCCCTTGGCCTTGATTCATTAATCCCATTTTTTCTAAACATTCAGATCACATGCTACCACTTCTCATTGTCTTCACTGTGTATAAATTCCTGTTCCCTTACATAGTGATGTTAACTTGCATCTTGTACTATTTCAAACACTCATGAGGTTACTGCAAACAGTTACTGATCTCCGGGGTGAAGGATTTTTACCAGGTGTAAAATGTGCTGGCATTTAACGACCTCTGAACATGGGCCAAATTGATTTCTTGATTCTGGAATCATTTCTACTTTGATATAATGATGTTTATATTATTTCCGAACCTCAGTTTCCTGTATGATGTGAAATAACTAGAACTAATATTGCATGAGTGTTGAGAGGTTTCATCGATACAACTATAAAAATGTTTTAAAGTAAAAACTACACACCAAATACAAGGTAGCATTTTTAAAGCAAATGTAAGTAGAGAAAGAGAAGTTATATACTTTTTTAAGTATATGAAGTAATGTGGCTGACTGATCACGGTGAACTGTCAATTTAAGTGTCATCGTCTTTATGTTAGTGGCTCAAAATAGACAAAATGCATGGCAAATCATGTCATTAAAGAGACCTCAGATAAGTAAAGCACTACTGAAGAAGAAACATGAAATAGGAGGCCTTCTGCTTCCCACCTCAAAATTGCTACACAGCCATATAGCATAGTGTCCTTACCTCAATAGATATAAAGACCAACAGAACAGAATTGAGAACCCAGAAGTAAATTCATCCACTAATAGAAAGCTGATGTTGTCAGAGCAGCTGGTTGATTCAAATCACGTGCCTTTGGATTGACAGCACAATTTCTTACCACTAGGCTTTGACAAGGAGATGGAATTCATTCAATGGGAGCAAGTGATTAAAGAAGTAAAACTGTTAGCTGTTTGCAGAACATTGGAACAAGATCCATACCTCACACCATCCACAGAAACTTTTTAAAAATAGGTCAAGTACCTAAGCATAAAACCAAAAATTATAAAGATCATCAAAGCAAAAGTAAGGCCAAACTTAGAAGCCCTAATCTGTGGTTTAAGTCCACTAGCAAATACAACCAAAAATGCAAAATTAACAGATGATAAATCATACAGTTTCAGACCTTCCCATTCATTGCCATCAAGGTAGAATGAACTCAAAGTTAACCCTCCAGTGGTTTCTTAGGCTGAAAATTTCATGGGAGATTGTCCATCATTCTGCTGATGGTGGATTTGAACCACCAAAGAAGAGTTGCCTTTGTGTTAGCAGAGGGCAGCTCCCTATGGACTGGGCCACAGAGCCCAAACTAAATGAGTAAGGCCTTTTAAACAGTAAATCTCTGCATTCATCAAAAGATTTCTCCAAAAGAGTAAAATAAACAACTTACAGATTGTGAGAGGGAATTTTTTATAATGCTTTACCTGATAAGAGATTAATCTCTAAAATTTACAGAAAACTCTAACACTTCAACAAAAGAAAGACCAAAAAACCCAATTATAAAATGGGCAGAAGACATGAAAAGATTTTTTGCCAAGCACATTCAGATAGTTAATTAATGTGAAGAAATGCTGAAGGTCGTTAGCTGTTACAGAGACACAAATCAGAACAATGCACTATTATATCATCCCAACAATAATAGCAATTTAAAACAATAGTAAACAACAGATGCTAGCAAGGGATACTGGAACTCACATACACTGCTAGTGGAAACGTAAAATGGTGCAACCACTATGGAAAGCAGTTTTGTACTTCCTTAAAAAATTGAGAATAGAAACACCATTTGATCCATAATCCTTAGGAGCATATATATCCTAAGGAAATAAGAGCTACAATACAAATGGATATATGCACACCCATGTTCATTGCAGCATTATATACAGTCACAAAGAGATGGAAACAACCCAAGTATTGATTAATAAATGAATTATTAAATTCATTCATTTTAATCCTTGACATTTAAATCTATTTAAATCCTTGAAATCTTAGGATTTAATTTCATTTTACATCCACACAGTGAAGAACTACACAACACTAAAGAACAATTTTAAAAATTGATGAACACTGTAGAACATGGATGAATCTAGAGGACATTAAATAGAATTAAGTCTGAAAAAATGTCATTTTTGTTTATAATTACTATCATAAAAAGCTAAAGAATGGTTTCTACAGAGATAATGTTGTTGGGTGGTTACTAGGGATATGAGGGAAGGGCGAGGGGAGTCAAAATTAATAGACAATAGACACTTATTAAAATGAAGGGAAATTTAACATATAGTAAGGGGACAAATAGGCATTATGAATACTGTAATTAATAGTCTAAAGTAAAATACGTATGAATGATTACATGAAAACATAATGTGTTTTTAACTTTCAGTCAAATCACAATTAAAAATGGTAATAAAATAAAAGGGGGGCATCTTGCAGTGAAATTTGTAAGGCCAGGGCTTCTTCATGGTTTTTAAATGTCAATGAGAAAAATTCTTTCCCCTTTGGACTATTTGCCCACCACTGAACATGCTAAGCCGATGTTGGTGCCTGGAGGAAGGGGCTGGTAAGGGGTATGAGAAGGAATTATGCAGCACTGTGGTGGTGTAGTCCCTAGGGATTTGCTATGACATCTCTTGTGATTCAACTACAGAAGTGACACCATAGGACAAGATGGTCAAAGCCTTCTCCAGTGCACTTACAGCCTCAGAAACCCCAGGAGGTTCAGCTGTGAATCTGTTCTGACTTGACGACAGTGAGTACTGCATGTTTGGGATTGCAGTGCAGCTTCTTGCCACTAGGCCACCAGAGCTCCCTTGAGTACAGAATGTTGTTGTTGTTGTTGCATACCTTTGGGTTGCAATGGGTTTCAGAGGCAGTAATTACATGGCAGGAGATTCCTCATCCTCCCGTGGAACAGCTGGTAGATTTGAACCTTGTGCCTTTGGGATTGCAGTGTAGCTTCCTACCATGAGGCCACCATAGCTTCCTGGGTACTGAATAGCTAGCTGTACATTATTCTCCCCCATGAGGACTCTTGAGGCTGTCCAACGCACATGGATGGAAGTAGAAACTAAATACCACACCTTAAAATTAAATCCTTGACATCTTAGTTTTTGTAGGCACTTAGTATTCTTCACTTTGCCATTATCTTTTGTCACACCAATACAAATACTGACAATCCTAGGCAGAACCATAGTTGTATCTTCATTATTTTCCCTGATTGAATGGTGATAGGAAGTGTATTATTAATAATCTGCTTTAGACTCGTAATAGTTAGGATTTATTGAGTTGACTATGACTCAGTGACCCTGTGAAAAACAGATCTGAACGTGTCTCTATCCTTCATCATCTTCTTGATCTCTACCATGCTTCAAGTCATTGGCACTGTGTCAGTCCATCTAGGTGAAGGACTTCCTTTCATTCTCTGACCCTTTGTCCCTTCTTTCCTAGCTTAGTGTCTTTTCCAAGGACTAGTTCCTTCTGACAACATGCCCAAAGCATTTGAGATGAAGTTTCTCTTGGAGGCCCCTTTTCAGTCTCATGACAGCTGTCGCCAGTGAGTGTTCG